CCATAGGTGTTCTATATTACATTATAAATGTCATTACTTTATAAATACTCTATACTGCAGTTTCTATTCCCTTTGGCTCAAAAGCTATTAAGAAAGCATTGGAATTGTTTACTTCTGAGTGGTTTCATGGGTTTTTAAAAACATTATTTGGTTATTAATTGCTAGTTTGATCATCAAATTGTAGGTGAATACATCCAGCAGAGAGCTTACTCTTTGAAATGTATCTAGATTTACTTTATGGTTCAAAAGTTCCTAAACATAGCTGCTATCGATAATTACCTACAAGTAAGTCAGTTACATACATTGACTGATTGATTAATTTATTTACTTAGAAATAGGGTCTTGTTTTGTCACCCAGGCTGTAGTGCAGTGGCACGATCATGGCTCATTGTAGCCTCTGCCTCCTGGGCTCAAGCAATCCACCTGCTTCAGCCTCCTGAGGAGCTGGGACCACAGATGTGTGTCACTTCACCCAGCTAATTTTTTTTTTTTTTTTTTAAAGAGACAGTGTCTACCTATGTTACCCAGGCTGGTCTTGAACTCCTGGGCTCAAATCATCCTCCCGCCTCAGCCTCCCAAAGTGCTAGTGAGCCACTGCATCTAGCCAAGATTGTTTAAAATAGAATCTCAACAACCCAATTTAAAAAGGAGCAAAGCTTATAAACAGACAGCTCACAGCAAATAAATACAAGCGGTTCTTAAAGATATGAAAAGATGTCCAACATGATTCATATTAAGATTATAAATTTAAACAACACTAAACACAATTCTCACCTATCAGATTGGCAAAAATCCAATGTTTGACAGTACATTCTACCAGGTTTTGGAATAAGCAGCACTTTGATACATTGCTGGTCAAAGTTTTGAATTTATACAGCCCCTACCAAGGGCTATTTAACATTATCCATCAAAATAAAATAGGTTTATGTTTTAACCCAGCTATCTCATCCAAGAAACTAATCCATAAAAACTGACATCTGTACAAGGTTATTCATTTAATCATTATTTGTGTTACCAAAAGATTGGCAATAGTCATTAACAGGGGATGTATTTATTATTATTATTATTATTAAGACAGAGTCTCACTCTGTCACTCAGGCTGGAGTGCTGTGGTATGATCTCAGCTTACTGCAACCTCCACCTTCCAGGTTCAAGTGATTCTCCTGCCTTAGCCTCCCAGTAGCTGGGATTACAGGCGCCTGCCACGACACCCAGCTAATTTTTGTATTTTCAGTAGAGACGGGGTTTTGCCATGTTAGCTAGGCTACTCTTGAACTCCTGACCTCAGGTGATCCATCTGCCTCAGCCTCCCACAAAGTGCTGGGATTACAGATATGAGCCACCATGCCTGGCCCAGGGGATGTATTAAATAAATTATTTCACATCCATGCAATGGAATACTATGCAGTAGTAAAGTAAATTAAGACATTCTCTATATGCTATTATGGAAAAATCTCTAAGATATATTGTTAAGAGAAGCAAGTTACAGAATTCTATAGAATGCTATGGAAATAAGGAAGGAAATAAGAATATATATATTTATACATCTTTACATATCTTATTTAATGTGTGTGTGTGTGTGTGTGTGTGTGTGTGTGTGTGTTGTACAAATGGTCGGGTTAGAGCCTGGAAGTCTAGGTTTTGGTTTTCATTTGTTGGGGTTTTTGTTTTTTGGTCTTGCTTTGCTTTACTTTGTTTTAAAGGTCCAAAATGATTCTGATGTAGCAGGTCCACAGAAAACCACTAATATACTATGCGATCAATTTGTGCAAATATTCTATAGGCAATTGAAAAGAAGCAAAATCTGTTAGAGGATCAAAGTCTGATACAGAAACAGAAATATATAAAGAAAAATATGTATGTAATTGACATTTTAATGAGATGAATAAATATCACTTCTTACCCTAGTATTGATATGTCAAGTGATGTGTGTTAAAAATCTACCATTATAATTGTATTCTATGAATTTTTCCATATATACATATATACATATACAATATATACTATTGATAATATAAAGGTGTGTATCTTCATTATTGATTTTACCTTTTATGAAAAGATGGATAATAGCCCTCTTTATCATCCTGATTGTTTTTTTGCCTGGAATTCTACTTTTCTATATTAATATTGCTAATCCTGCTTTCTGTTTTTGACTTTTGTAATTTTTTTCTTAACAATTTTCAAATATTCTGAGATACTTTCTTTAATAAAATATAGATTAATCTGTATAGGTTTTTTGGAGATATTACTCAAATTGAGAATCTTTGTTCTTTGACAATGGAATTTAACTCATTTATAGTTATTATCGTCACATATGTACTCACACTTCTATCATATTTATTATTCCTTTATTTCTTTTTCTACATGTGTATTTTCTTTGTTTTCTTTTACTATTTGGAATGCTTCCACTCTACTAGTAATTTTATAGCTATGAAATACTAAATTTTCATCAAAATACATCCAGCAATTAGTTTCCTTTCATTGATTTTGTATGTTAATGGGTGAGTCATTTTGATTTCCAGATTTAAGTCTTCAATCAGCTTAAGAACATCAACTGCCCATATGTTTAATTCTGCTCACTACCCTCCATATTCATCAGAATCTCACTCACCATTTTAAAGTTGTTTTGTTTCCTTTGAATTACACAAGAGTTTCTTAAGCTTGTTCCCCATATTAATAACTGGATTTTCTACAAAGTAGATTCTGCTTTTTACTGCTTCATATTCCATTTAAAATTCTTTTGGGCCATTTTTAGTTTTCTTATATTATCTCCCCCTAACTTAACCAGCAACTGTTTCCTCTCATTCTGTTGGCTCACGCTATCTTTTCTTTCACAGTGTGTATTTTTTTCTAGAAGTTTGTAGAAAATACAAAGTTAATATCTCAAATTTACCTGGTTTTCTGTAAAAGTAAATACTTTTCAAAACTCTGTTATTTTTCTAACCAGTTTATGCTTTTTTGAGGCAGAATCTCTTCTCTTACAAAGCTATAAAATTTCTTCTTCTTTACATCCAAACTTGAAACAGAAGAAATCTACACAGGCTTGTTTTCCCCAAACTGTGGGTATACTCTTCTTGGCTACTCTCATGGCACACACAGGCTGTCAGAATACTTAGATTTTAGACTGAGGAGTTGATAGTTACAAATTTGGGACATCAATTTAAAAATCCCAGAAGCCTATGGGGAATGAGGAAGAAGTCTGAACAGTAGTCACTGCCAGCAGGGGAATTTCATCTCTGGATAATTTCTTCTTTGTATCTGGCAAAGCTGCTAAGCCATGGAGCCAATTTTTTATGAGCCAATTTGGCCTGGCAATCACTCCAAGTACATGATGTGACTGCCCAACTTCCAAGCTGGTGTGGGCTTCTCTTCACCACCCTACCCACTAGCTTTCCATCTGGGAGAGCCACATTGGAGCTTGCCCTTGGGCTTCCCGGGGCAGTGATTTCAAATGCTGTTGACCCACAACAATGAAAGTGATCCTATGTGGAAAGATCCCTGGCTGTTCTTCAGCTCATTCTCACTCCGAAAGAGGACAGGATTCTTCTAGAATCTCCAACTTCATAGATTCCCATACAACACTGCATTATAAGTAGATTCCCATATGACACTGCTTTCCTGCGGTTCAATCCTCAATATTCACCCACATTTACTCCTAACTGCCCCACAGATTACAAAAACAAAAAACCATCAAAGTACATGTGGGTGCCCGACACCTTTCTCTAGCTTCCAGCCTCAAAGCAGCACTTCCAGTCCTAACGCAGGGTACAGTATTAGAAGAAGGGGGTTACATCTTTGTATTCCGTTGTCATCTTACTCAAAAATCCTACCCAATCCTGGTCTGATTTTTATTAAGGTAGCAATTTTCTTCGCAGAGGTTCACCTAGCTGCAAACCCTATTTGGAGATGGAGATCCAGTTATTAACCCCTCAGAAAATTGGCTCCTGCTATTTAATTGACTTTTCTTTGCCTTGCAAATATGATTTCCAGCCAAGTGAACCTCTTTAGAGAAAATTGCTTCCTTTCTGGCTAAGAAACAAACTAAGATTGAATGGGTGCTGACAATATCCTCAGACCACTGAGCCCACCTTTCCCAAAGCAGGGTGATGTGTCCTTATTCCCTCCGATATTTATCTCAAAATTTGGGCAGGAAACAAAATGTGATTGCTCTTTTCCAAATGCCTTCAAGAATTTTCAATTAGATTTCACAAATAAGGATTGAGAGCTTTCTGCTGAGCACCAGCCCACCAGGGACAGAGATAAATAAGACACAGACTCCCCGCCAAAGCATCCTGTGCATATTGCTAAAATAACAACACCCGTGACACACATTAAAATTCACGAAACCATGCACCTTTCAGAGAACAGGGACCAAGTCTCAGCCCTCATTGTATCTCCAACAAGAGATACCAGTTCGTGGTACAGAGGAGGTTTTACAAAACATGTTAGCTAAACCAAACAAAAACCAGTTCCAGTTCCTGCCCTTGAGAAGGTCACAATCCAGAGAGAGGTGCCCTGGCTTCCGCTATAAATCAGTGCTCCTGTTGTGAACATCACTGCACCTCAGGGAACCCAGCACACATGACGAACACACAGGGCACGACCTTTCCTGACGAGATGTACACCACAGGCCGGACCCTGGAGAACCCTCTCCCAGGACTTGGAGCTGCACCTCATATCAGGATGAGTCACACTGAACTATCCCTACTTTTCTTCCCATCTTTCCCAGAGCCAATGGCCTTGTAAGAAACAGGGGCAGGGAGGGGTACCGTCGGGGTGACCTTGAGACCAGGACGCCACTCTGTCACCTGATGAAGCACGTGGTCTCCCAGGTAGGAAACTTCAGACACAGCCCCAGGATTCCAGCAGACCTATCCCCCCGAGTGCATCCAGATCAGACTGGTCAGACTGGTATTTCTGAGTCTCACCCCAGCCCCCACCACCACTGATGAGAGCCCCGCCTGGAAGAGGAGTGGCCTCAAGCCGAGCAACAGCCCCACCTGAGAATGATCCGGAGGTACTCAATCCCCTCTGCCTCCTCGCACTTGACGGACAGGATCAAGTTCCCCAGGCTGCTGCCAGTACAATAAAAGTTTAGATGATCCTAAAAAGAGAAACTGGGTGTGAGCGGGAAGGAGGAAGAAACTTTCCTGATATGTCCCCCACACCAGCTCCTTCACCAGGCATGAGAATATACAGCAACAAGGAGAAGGATGCTACAGATGCCAGTGACGACATGAATGGGCACCAACAGAATCCTCAGGATGTGCCAGGCACCATGCCAGGGGCTTCGTACCCCCATGTCCTTCACACCTGACCACGGCCATATTCTGGAGAGAACAGCATCCTGGTTTCACACGTGGGAAAACCCCTTGGCATGGAGGTTAAGTCACTGCCCGGGACCACACAACTAGCAAGTGACAGATCCAGGGCTCAAACGCACATCTGTCTTGACTCTAAAGCACCAATTCTTGCCTGCAGGAAACCGAGTCCATGTTCTCATTCCCGGGGGGCAGCCCTCCCCAGCTAAGACTATTTGGGGCAGGACAGCAAGGAGGAACCCTGGCACCTCCACCAACGGCAGCTGGGAGGTTTCTGGACCAGTGGGCCACTCCCTGGCTCAGGGAACACAGGCAAAAAACACAGCTCCCCAGACCCACTGGATCAGAGCCAGGCCCTGGAATCCACTTGCTAACAAGACCCCCAGGGCTCTGATGCAGCCTCTCCCCTCCTGTGAGACTCTGCAAAGTGGCTTCACGCTACAGACTTCTGGAATCTGCCCTCAGCTTACCTCAAGAATCTGGTAAGGCAGAAGGGCACAATATTTTTTTTTAATATAACTTTATCACTTTTAAATCATCAGAGGCTCCCAGCCAGCCACTAAGCAGTACCAGTACTCAGAGGACCTACCTGAATGAGGACGAGAGAGACTTGTGCAATTAGATGGAAACAGAGACTTACAAGGTGTGAAAACATTTTTCCCCAACACTCAAATCTCCACCCACTGTCCTTCACCACAAACACTACCCATTCCATCACCTCCTAACACATTTGTGGGGGGTGGTCCCCACAAGGACTCATTGCACTGGGCCCCCCAACTGTTGCATGGCCCCCCTGCCCCATCCCCCCAGGACAGGGCCCATCAGACCCTCCAACTGAGACAGCAGCAGGCAGAAACGAAAGCACAGACTGGGAAGGAGGTAAGACACAAAGGAAAAGGAGGCCCTGGAGAGAGGACCCTGGGGCACCCTGCCCTCCCCCGCCCCAGCAGCCCCTCTCCCCAGGGTCCCCAGCCTCACCTTCCCTAGGAAGTGCCTGCGGTAGGCCCTCGCTTCGCCCTTGCACTCCAGCTTGTAGCCAAACGTGTTGGGGCTGAGGTTGTCCTCTTCCTCCTCACAGATGCTGCTGCCCAGTGATGTTGGGGTGCCCACATTCTCCGGGTCCTCAATCCAGTAGCCCCCAAACTGGGGCAGGATGACCTGAGGGTACGGGCCTCCCTTCTCCACAACCTGAAGGCAGAGGGAGGGCCTTGCACTGCAGCTGGCCCTTGAGACCGCAGGGGAGGGAGGAGGCCAGTGGCCATGTCCCCATCTACCTCCGTGCTGCTCCCAGGAGAGGGCCTGGTACCCACTGGTACCTGAGGCCAAAGGCAGTAACATGAACCCCTCTTCTAAGCCCCAGAGCCTCTCCAGCTTCGTTCACCAACCCTGTAGCCCCAGGGTGGCAAGGCCGAGATGAGCACCCCCAACTTCCACATGGGAAAGCTGAGGTTACAAAGACAAAGATGGGAAGAGAGGTCCCAGGCCCCAGGTTCTCTCCCGTGAAGGGCTGGGCACGGCCCATTGCCATCATTTCCCCAGGGATGGGACCCAGCACAGGCTGCAGAGCAGGTGGGAGTGAGCGGCGGGCGCCTACCTCGTCGATGCTGGGGTACGGGATGTAGTCATCCTGCAAGACAGACCAGGGGATGCCACTGTTAGTCCCGGCAGCACCCATGAAGTCTGAGTGCTGTTTCCAGGCCTAGCAAGGGGGATCTGCTGTGCGGGCTTAGCAGGCTGCGTGGGGCTTTGAGGGAGGCACAGTCAGTGGAAGAACAGCTCAGAATCAGCTCTGGGATCTGACATTCACCATGTTCTTTTCCAAATTGACAGAACCCGAACATAAACCCTGCCAGCTGATGATGCAATAGATGGAGGCGCTGAACTTCTCACCACCCGTGATACCAGCCCCTCATCCTAGAATGCCAATTCCGGAAAACGACCCCTGGTCTCACCCAGCACCCGTCTCTAGGCAAGGGGTCTGACCTCCAAGGGATAAGTGGCATCCCTGGGTTTGGAAATGGAACCTGAAGCTGAGAGCCGACTGCCCTCTGGAACCCGGGACACAGCCTGACAGCCTCACACTGTACAGGACAGGGAAGAGCCAGGCCACACGGCCAAGCCTGAGCTCCCACCAAGGCCTCCCCGAGCCTGCTCAGAAGCTGCCCTAACGCATCAAGCCAGGACCCCTTTGCTGCCCATCCTGCACTAGGCTAACAAGGGCACAGTCACGCAGGGGCCGTGGTGAAGGTCAGAGTTAGAGGGTGTGAGACGGAAGACCCCAGCACCTGGCAGCTCCTCCTGCCTTCCTCTCTCCCTGGCCCCTCACCAGGGCCATCTGGCTGCCCCCTCACCCACCCAGCCCACCTTGTTCTTCTGGGGTCCTGGCTTCTGGTCTTCAAGCTTGATCCCCTATAGAAACAAGAAAAACAGAATCCACAGAAAAGCAAAGATCAGAAGAAAGGGTCGGAGGAAGAGCACCTGGCCTTGCAGGGGTTAGTAACAGGAGTGGAGCCACAGCTGGCCCGTGCTGGGCTGGCACACCCCACACCTGGCTGCCGTTGGCCTCACAGCAGCCTCAGGTGAGGTGGCAGGGCCGCTGGGCTGATGGCACAGACTTGAGCCAGATGACCAGGGTTCAAATCCCAACACTGCCTCCTATCAGCCTGATGACCTTGGCGAGCCACAGAAACTTCTCTGTGACTCAGTGTTCTCTCCCGTGAAATGCGAATGATAGTGGTGTCCACTATGGTGGTGAGGGTTCAGTCTTAACAATGGGCTCAGCACTTGGAACACTGATTGGTGTATAATAAATGCTGTGGGTCATTATTATCATGAAGGAGGAATCATTGTCATTCAATGCTTAAACGTCTGTCTTAGGGTCACAGAGCCCGTAAGGGAAGATAAACATGGAAACCCGTGCCTGCTGGTGTCAGATCCTGCGCTCTAGGCCCCGTGCCTACAGGCCCCAGGGGACAGGAAGGAGACCTGGTGCTGGCCCTCACTCTGCTGTGAGCTTCCTATTTGTGACCCTCGACAAAGCATAGCCTCTTAGAGCCCCCAGTGTCACTTGTAAAATGAGGCTGACAACACTCACTCACCTTCCATCTGGCTGATGCAAGGATCATTGCAAGGATCAGATATGATGCCTGGGATGGACTAAGGGTGTTCATCTACAGAAAGAATTCACTTCTGGGGAGCAGTGCCCAGTCCACCTTTTTTTTTTTTTTGAGACAGAGTCTCTGTCACCCAAGCTGGAGTGCAGTGGCACAGTCTCAGCTCACTACAGCCTCCACCTCCCAGGTTCAAGTGATTCCCCTGCCTTAGCCTCCCGAGTAGCTGGGATTACAGGCATGTGCTACCACGCCTGGCTAATTTTTGTACTTTTAGCAGAGATGAGGTTTCGCCATGTTGGCCAGCTCTTGAACTCCTGACCTCAGGTGATCCACCCACCTCAGTTTCACAAAGTGCTGGGATTACAGGTGTGAGCCACCACACCCAGCCTCTTTTTATTTTTCTTTTGTGTTGGAGTCTTGCTCTTTTGCCCAGGCTGGAGTGCAGTGGCATGGTCTCGGCTCACTACAGTCTCTACCTCCCAGGTTCAAGCAATTCTCCTGCCTCAGCCTCCCGAGTACCTGGGATTACAGGCTTGTACCACCACATCCAGCTAATTTCTTGTATTTTTAGTAGAGAGAGGGTTTCGCCATGTTGGCCAGGCTGGTCTTGAACTCCCGACCTCAGGTGACCCAATCGCCTTGGCCTCCCAAAGCGCTGGGATTACAGGCTGAGCCACCGCGCCCAGCCCCTGTCCAGCAGTTCTATCACTGAGTCTGACTTAACCACATTGTGCAGGAGAGGAACGCGTGGTATTTCCAAGACTGACTGAGAAAATCAGGTGAGAGTATGAGGGAGTGCACAAACCAGAAGAAACCGTTCCCATCGGAAGCAGGGAGTCCAGAAGCAGTCTCTGCCTGGTCGTAACACTAATGCACGGGGATCTTAACCTTCCCCAGCCAGCTCTCTCTGGGTCTCCCTTGAAACTCACAGCACCTTTCCACCAGTAAGGACACTGCGCCCCAAGAGGAGGCTGTTTGCCTAAGGCTGCATAGCCAGCATGTGGCGGGGCCTAGATTTGAAGCCGGGTCACCAGCTCACCAAGTACATGGCATGCCCCACACGCTGTGGACAGCAGGGCTCCTGTGAACTGGGTGGATTTGGATATAGCCTCCCTGGACTCCCCTGGGCTGAGTCACCCCGCAGCATTGTTCAGGAGGCTGTGGGAGGGCCCTTCCCACTGGACAGGTACTCCTCTCACACACACACAGAAAGTCACCTGTGTGGCCCTACAAACCCTGTCCCAGGTGGCACACTGGGCAGACAGCGGGTGGGGGCAGCAATGTCAAGAGTCTGTTTTGTTTGGCTGCATTAGTCATCCCTGGCTGGGAATAGCCTCTAGGGCAGGAGAGCAAACCTCCTTCCGTCCCCTCCGCCATGCCACTCCCTCCCCTACCGCAGAGCCACTGCCCAGCACTGGGCCCTCTCTCCTCCATGCACTAGCTTTGCGAGAGGTATTCTCTTTGCTTTTGTTTTGTTTTGTTTTTGAGATGGAGTCTCACTCTGTCGCCCACACTGAGTGCAGTGGCACAATCTCAGCTCACTGCAACCTCCACCTCCTGGGTTCAAGTGATTCTCCTACCTCAGCCTCCTGAGTAGCTGGGATTCCAGGCACCTGCCACCACACCCAGCTAATTTTTTGTATTTTTAGTAGAGATAAAGTTTCACCATGTTGGCCAGGCTGCTCTAGAACGCCTGAGCTCAGGTAATCCGTCCACCTCAGCCACCCAAAGTGCTGGGATTACAGGCATGAACCACCACACCCAGCCTCAATAGGTATTATCTTTATTTCCCCTTCTCCCCTCAATGAAGAAATTAAGGCTCAGAGACAGAAACGGACTTGACCAGAGACACTTTCAGCTAGAAAGCATCCGGGTTAGAACCCAAAGCCAAGACTGAAGGAATCCAGAGCTTGTGCACCTGGCCCCTTCTACTTCACAGGGCTCTGCCCCTTTTCCAGTTCCTAGACTCCTGGGCTGGGAACTGGGAATCTTGGGTCCCAGTTTCAGTTCTTCACAACTAGCACAGTGACCTAGGCACTTCACTGCCCCGAGGTTCAGTTTCTCCAGTTACAAGATGAAGAGAGATCGAGCCAAGGCTCAAGGCCCACATGGGCACTCCATTGCCATCAGTGCCCCAGACAGGAGCTTCTTCCTAACAAGTGAATCTCTGAGACTGGGCCTGGGGACCACATGGTAGAGGCTTAAACACCCGGGAATGTGGCTTCAACAGTCTCAGCTGAAATGGAACAGACAGCCCACCCATGGTTACCAGCCATTGCGGAGACAGAGGGAGAATCAAACAAGACCCCTGCCCTAGAAAGCGCCCCATCTAGATGAAAAGACAAGCCCAGCAGCCTCTAAACAGAACAGGCGGGGCGCAGTGGCTCACGCCTATAATCCCAGCACTTTGGGAGGCCAAGGTGAGAGGATTACAAGGTCAGGAGTTCGAGACCGGCCTGGCTGATATGGTGAAACCCCATCTCTACTAAAATTACAAAAATTAGCCTGGCATAATGTTGCACGCCTATAGTCCCAACTACTCCAGAGGCTGAGGCAGGAGAATCACTTGAACCTGGGAAGCAGAGGTTGCAGTGAGCCGAGATCATGCCACTGCACTCCAGCCTGGGTGACAGAGCAAAACTGTCTCAAAAAAAAAAAAAAAGAGTCTGAGGCTGGTTAACTGGGGCTGAATACTTGCTCAGAGAGGCCCTTTGTCGGGGAAGACTGTGGGAAGAGGACTCCAGCTGGGGTGAAGGAAGAGAGCATCTGAGGAGAAACCTGAGAGAAGGCTGCCAGCTTCCCGGAGTGCCAGGATCCCACTGACTTGAGGAGAAAATCCCAGCCTTGCTCCAAGTAACTGAGCACTTGATTATATACCAACTCCTACCACTCATGGTCAGGCATGTGCTATCCTTGTCTCTGCACGTTGATGATAAGTCCCTGAATGCGGAGAAGATGCGTTTGTTGTCTACACGCTGCTGGGCAGAGAGGACAATCTTAACAACCTGCTCGCGGGGTCACAACCAGTAACAGTGTTTTCCCTTCAATCGCATCTCTGCTCCCTTCCCACACTCAGGGAGACCTGGCTCCTTCGCCTGCATCTCGGGACTGTGGTGGGCGCTGTATCTGCCCCTCCTCCTAGGACTTCCAGACCATGATTGCAGAATCTTCTCCCCTGACCCTGGAGCACCAACTAGGGTACAAAGCATCATGACGTAATGGCTCTACTCTCTGGCTCAGAAGCTACTTATGAGCCACACACCCTTTGAGTGCTTCCTTTAATAGTTCTGTGCCTCAATTTTCTCACCTGTCCTATGGGGATAATAATAATAATAATAGACCTACTTCTGAGGGCCCTGTCAGGAAGAAATGACGCCTGTCCATCTCTGAGCCCAGATACATGCTTGAGTTACAGGTGCCATTATCAGCATGGTCTTCCCACGCTTCCCACCCACGCCAATGAGCCCTTCTGGACCGCTGCACATACTCCCCAGGGCAGCAGCTCTTACCTGGGAGCTTGACCCTGGAGAGGAAGAGAAAAGACCCCAAACCCACACTATACACCAGCTTTATGTCGTGCCTACCGCATATTCACACAGATCATCTCATTTCACCCAACCACCGAGGAAGTGGTGCTTTTCTTCCTCTTTATTTATGGAGGCTTAGAACAGGCAAGGAACTTGTGCTAGTAAGTGTTTGGGGCAGGATTTGAACTCAAGGCGGCCTCCCACCCCGCCCCTCTGCCTCCCCACACAAGATGGCTCCCCCAAGAAGCAGCTAGTTCTTTCAGGCTTTTTTTCCAGCTTGTTCCAGGAACAATGGGCCCTTCAAACCCTCCTCCACATCCACAGGGCTTTTGGCTGCCCCAGCTGCTCTGCTGGGGAAGTTCTGCTTTTTATCCTCCCTGTCCTTCCACAGGAGTGTTCCCAAAGTGCTCTGTGCCCCTCAACAACAAAAAGGCCTCGGGTTGTCTGGGCCAAGGGGATGTGATCCTCTCTTCTCTGCTCTGCCCTCCAGGGCACCCAACTTCTGCCCGGGGGTTCTGCCTGGTCCCTATGCCACCCACCTCCAGGGTTGGGCTTCTTCCCTGCTGCAGTGGGGATTTGTACTCACCTGCATTTTCTCCAGCATCTCGAAAAACTCCGACGACTGAAAGACAAAAGTGGGGGACAGAAAGACGGGGGTCAGCCCGGAGGTCCACGGCCAAAGCCTCTTCCTCACCAACCGTCTGGAAGCTGAGCCAGGGGCTTCCCCAGGGACAACATTCATTTGGATCAACAGAGAAAATAATTTGATTTTGCCTGTGCAGGGCTAGAAGGCCAAGCACCCCACACGGCGAGAGAGAGAATACGGCAGCCCAGGCCGCGAACACACAGCCCTAGGGGACAGACACTCAGTCTCTGTCAAGGTAAGGGGCCTGCGGGGCCCCTAGGAAAGGCCAAATTCCGCAAACGCCTGCCATCCTCAAGATTCAGACTCCGGCAGGAGCCATATGTAGGATGTTTTCAACCCAGCAATGGGGCCAAGGTGTCCACATAAGTGACGTTCCACACCCTGATACAGGAAACCCACCAGTCAAAGTAGAGCTGCTGTGGCCACAGCAGAAGGGCCAGGGGGTGGGGGAAACTGAGCCCCAGCTGTACCGCCTCTGCCTCTGCCTGCCCTGTCCCCTGCCCCCAAGGCACCACTTTGGGACCCTAAAGCTGGTGAAACAAAACCTGAACACCACTTAACCTAGGCCTCTGAGTCCCCAGAGGGTTTTTTTTTTGTTTTGTTTCATTTTGTTTTTGAGATGGATTCTCGCTCCATCGCCCAGGCTGGAGTGGTGCAATCTCAGCTCACTGCAACACCTGTCTCCTGGGTTCAAGTGATTCTCCTGCCTCAGCCTCCCAAGTAGCTGGGATTACAGGCACCCACCACCATGCCCAGCTAATTTTTGTTATTTTAGTAGAGACGTGGTTTCACCGTGTTGGCCAGGCTGGTCTTGAACTCCTGACCTCATGTGATCTGGCCACCTAAGCCTCCCAAAGGGCTGGGATGACAGGCCTGAGCCCTGCGCCCAGCCTAGATAGGTTATTTTAAATCCCAAACTGCATTTGTCCAGACCTTTCACCTACTTTGCTGCCACCCTTGTCTACTCCAGTAAAAGCAAAAAGGAGCAAAGCGAAGTGGAATGGAAGCGTGAGGGGCTGGCAGCTCCGCTCCAACGAAACACACACAGAGGTCCTCCCAATTCCCGTCCGATAAAACTACAACCCTTTCTCAAACTAACGTTGCTGCCCACATCTGGGCACGGGAAGCTGTGAGTCATTAAGTACCCAGAAGAGACGTTCCCCAGTGAAGAGCAGAGAAAAGAAAGCAGTGATGAGCAACACTGTGTCTGTCCTCAGCACTTCTTCACGCACAGGTGGGGCCTCCAAGCACTCTCCCTAGCTCTGCAGGCACCATGGGCCAGAACTGCCTGCAGCTCCCACTGCTCCCAGAATTCCCAGAACCACCCTGGGAAGGAGCCTGGCGAAATCCCTGGAGAGACCCAGCCCTGCTGTTGACCCCAGACAGCCTCTGTCAGGCCAAAACCAGCCTGTCAGAGGCAAAAAGCCCCTGACCTACCAGCAGTTCAGGATCTGGCATGTAGAAAGCCCATGAATGAATGTGCGGGGTGGGCTTAGGGCACCCACATCCAAGTCCCTTAAGCAGACGTGAGCCGTCCAACATCCAAATGCCAAACCTCCTCTTCCTACCTGTTCTGGGTACACATGCTTACAATCTCCAGGCTTAGGAGACCAAGATTACCAGACATAAAGAGCTTATGCCAATCAATAAGGATAGAAAGATGAGCAGGAGGAGGATAATGGAACAAAAACAATCAACATTTTACATACACAGACCTCTGACCTGCAATTCCATGTCTAACAATCCATTCTCTAACACTCTTGCAATGTACACAAAGACAGACAGACTCAAATGTTCACTGCAGCACCGTTTCTAACCACGAAAAGTAAAAACAACTTACATGTCTGTAGAAAACTGGTTAAAATAAGCCACCTTCACAGGATAAAACACAAATACTATAAACTATAGCTCAATAAATTGGATAACTTAGATGAAATGAACAAATTCCTAGAAAAACACAACCTATCAAAACCTACCCAGTAAGAAATAGAAAATCTAAAGATATAACAAATAAACAGATCAAACTCATGATCAAAAAACAATGCATAAAGAAAAGCCCATGTGGGCCCTGCAGGCTGCCATACGCCCGCGGCTCCGGCTCTCCCCCGTTTGCCGCGGCGGCCCGGCACCAAGAGCACCCATGCCATCCTGCCCCACACGCGGTCTAGCCGCTGTCGGCCGCGGGGGGCCCCGGGAATCTGAAGGGTCCATGGGGCCAGGGGCGGGGCCTGCGGGCGGACGGCGGCCGAAGCTTCCCGGGAGAGGACGAGGAGGAACTGGAAGACGCGGAAGAGGACGCAGAGGAGGAGCTGCTGCAGAGGGAGTTTCTGCTGCCGGCGGGGACCCAGTGCATGTGTCTGGTCCACCCCGATGTCAAGTGGGGCCCGGGGAAGCCGCAAATGACGCGAGCTGAGTGGCAGGTAGCAGAGGCCACAGCCCTGGTGCACACTCTGGACGGCTGGTCCGTGGTGCAGACGATGGTGGTGTCCACCAAAACTCTGAACAAGAAGCTCGTCTTCGGCAAAGGGAACTTTAAGCACCTGACAGAGAGGATCCAAGATCTCTGGACATCACGTGCGTCTTCCTGAATGTAGAGAGGATGGCTGCCCCAACCAAAAAAGAACTGGAAGCCGCCTGGAGGGTGGAGGTGTTTGACCACTTCACCGTCGTCCTGCACATTTTCCGCTGCAACGCCCGCATGAAGGAGGCCTGGCTGCAGGTGGCCCTGGCAGAGATCCCGCTCCTCAGGTCGAACCTGCAAAGGGAGGTCGCCCACCTTCACCGAGGAGGATCCGGCTCCTGCTACATCATGGGGTCAGGAGAATCGTTCATGCAGCTGCAGCAGCGTCTCCTGAAAAAGAAGGAGGCCAAGATCAGGAAGGCCCTGGACGGGCTTCGGAAGAAGAGGCACCTGCTGCGGCGGCAGCTCAAGAGGCGCAAGTTCCCCATGGTCTCCGTGGTGGGGTACACCAACTGTGGGAAGACCACGCTGATCAAGGCGCTGATGGGAGACGCCGCCCTGCAGCCGCGGAACCAGCTGTTTGCCATGCTGGACGTCACAGCCCACGCGGGCACGCTGTCCTCACGCCTGCGCGTCCTGTATGTGGGCATCATCGGGTTCTTGTCCCAGCTGCCACACGGCCTCATCAAGTCCTTCTCCACTATCCTAGAAGACGTGGCCCACTCGGACCTGATCCTGCAGGTGAGGGACGTCAGCCACCCCGAGGCGGAGCTCCAGAAAGTCAGCGTCATATCCACACTGCGTGGCCTTCAGCTGCCCGCCCCGCTCCTGGACTGCATGCTGGAGGTTCACAACAAGGTGGACCTGGTTCCCGGGTACCACCCCACGAAACCGAACGTTGTGCTTGTGTCTGCCCTGCTGGGGCATGGGCTCCAGGAGCTGAAAGCTGAACTTGAGGCAGCATTGTTAAAGGCCGCGGGGAGACAGGTCCTCACCCTCCGCATCAGGCTGGCCAGGGCCCAGCTCAGCTGGCTGCATAAGGAGACCACAGTTCAGCAGGTGGACATGATCCCCGAGGAAGGAGCAGCCGACGTCAGGGTCATCATCAGCCACTCGGCCTATGGCAAATTCCGGAAGCTCTTTCCAGGATGAGCAGAAGCCCGAGGAGGCCTGGGGTGTGGTGGCATTGCTGTGTCAGGACAGTGGGGTCCCCTTTGTCAGGCTCTGTGTCCCAGGCGGTTGTGATGACCATACAGGCTGCTGGCATGCTCACGGCTGCTCTGAAGCGGGCCTCCCCAGAGTCCACACCACACAATTCCACTGGGCCCCCAGTGCATGCTGTGAATTGTTTTCCCTCGGAATGTTCTGGCAGCAGGACATGAACCTGTGTTTTTGCCTCCGTGAGCAGCATTTCCGGCCTCTCCTGCCTCTGCTGTGAGCCGTGGCCCTAGTGGGCACATGTGGCCCCTCTGCCCAGCTGTCTGTGCGCACAGACGGGCCTCATGGCCCACAGCCGTACTGGTGAAATGAGTAAATACCAGGTCCCCTGGCAGCCCAGAGAATCCGTCCACAAACCGTCCACAAAAGCAGAAGGGAAAGAAAACAGTTCTATTAATGAAGACGCTTCAAACCAGACTGTGACATGTGCATCGCAGACCATCCGCTGACAGATGCAGAGAGACAATTTCACCTGCATGAGGCCAGGCCGTACAGACCAGCCTACCCAACGTGGCAAAACCCTGCGTGGCCATGCTACACACCCATCTCCGTCCACAGGGAAACAAAATGCCTTGTATGTTTTTGCTTGCTCTGAGACAGACTCTCTGTCGCCCAGGCTGGAGTGCAGGGGTGCAATCTCTGCTCATTGCAACCTCCACCTCCCGTGTCCAAGCGATTCTCTTGCCTCAGCCTCCCAAGTAGCTGGGATTACAGGCGCCCACCACCACACCCATCTAATTTTTGTATTTATAATAGAGATGGGGTTTCACCATGCTGGCCAGGCTGGTCTGGAACTCCTGACCTCAGGTGATCCGTCCACCTCAGCCTCCCAAAGTGCTGGGATTACAGGCGTGAGCCACCGTGCCCAGCCTCACAACTTAATTTTTAAAAAAACTCTATGACCTGAAAAAGATGCCCAATGAATTAACTTTTTTTTTTTTTTTTTTGAGACGGAGTTTTGCTCTTGTTACCCAGGCTGGAGTGCAGTGGCGCAATCTCAGCTCACCGCAACCTCCGCCTCCTGAGTTCAAGCAATTCTCCTCCCTCAGCCTCTCAAGTAACTGGGACTACAGGCTTGCGCCACCACGCCCAGCTAATTTTTGTATTTTTAGTAAAGACGGGGTTTCACCATGCTGCCCAGGCTGGCCCCGAACTCCTGACCTCATGATCCGCCCACCTCGGCCTTCCAACGTGCTGGGATTACAGGTGTGAGCCACCGTGCCTGGCCTGAATGAACATTTTCTAAAGATGCCTCCCGCATCCTGTCCTGAAAGCCAAATACTCCTCTGCTGCGTACGTGGCAATAAAATTCATGCATACATGTGAAAAAAAAAAAAAAAAGAAAGAAAAGCCCAGACCCAGATGGCTTCGTTTGTAAATTCTACCAAATATTTAAAGAAAAGTTAATACTAATTCCTCATACTTACTATGAAGTAAGTCAAAAGAAAGTGCACAGCATGGTAGAAAATATTTGCAAATCATATATCTGATAAAGGACGTGTCTCTACGAAAATAACTCTTACAACTCAGCAAGAAAAAGACAACTCAATTTAAAAATGGGCAAAGGATCTAAATACACATATCCCCAAAGAAGATATACAAAGGGATAATAAGTACATGGAAAGACACTCAAACCACTAGTCAAGTCATCAGGAACTGCAAATCAAAACCACAGCAAGCTACCACTCACACCACTAGCACAGCTGTGATCAAAAACCAGAATATCCCAAGTGTTAGGAAGGATGTAGAGAAATCGGAGCCCTCAGATACAGCTGGGAGGAATGTAAAACAGTACAGCCACTGTGGAAAATAATTTGGCAATTCCTCAAAAAGTCCCACATGAACAATGACCACATGACCCAGCAATTCTACCCCTAGGGATAGACACGAAAGAACTGAAAACAGGTATTCAAGCAAACACTTGTACACAAACATTCACAACTGCATTCTTCACTCTTACCAATAGATGGGTACAACCCAAATGTCTATCAACTGATGAATAAACAAAATGTGCTGTGTCCATGCAATGGAATAATATTCACAGCCATTAAAAATAACATACTGGGCCGGGTGCGGTGGCTCACGCCTGTAATCCTAACAACACTTTGGAAGGCTGAGGCAGGGAGATCACAAGGTCAAGAGATAGAGACCATCCTGGCCAACATAGCGAAACCCCATCTCTACTAAAAATATAAAAATTAGCCAGGCATGGTGTCATGTGCCTGTAATCCCAGCTACTCGAGAGGCTGAGGCAGGAGAATCTCTTGAACCTGGGCAGTAGAGGTTGCAGTGAGCCAAGATCACCCCACTGCACTCCAGCCAGGCGACAGAGCAAGACTCCATCAAAAAAAAAAAAAAAAAAGTACTGATACATCTCACAACACTGATGACCCTTGAATACATTACACCAAGTGAAAAAAAGGCAGACATAGAAGACCATGATTCCATTTTCATCAAATGTCCAGAGTATACAACTTCATAGAGACAGAAAGATTAGTGGCTGCTTAGGCTGAGGGGATGGGGCATTAGAAGCTTATAGCTAAAAGGTACAGATTTCATTTCAAGGCAATAAAAAGGTTCTAAAATTGATTATGATGATGCTTGCACAGCTCTGTGAGTACCACCAAAAACTACTGAATTGTATACTTTAAATAACTTTATGATATATAAATTATATTTCAACAAACCTGCTCAAAAAAACTATGCAGTCATTCAAAAAGAAAGGAATAGATTCGTGTTGTTTACATATGACACTCTCCAAGATATATTAAGCTCGGCGGTGGAGATCAGAGAACAATACATTGAATATAGTCCCACTGTTATAAAAACAGGCAGGCATGGTGGTTCACACCTGTAATCCTAGCTATTCAGGAGGCTGAAGCAGGAGGGTTGCTAGAGCCCAGGAGTTCAAGGCTGCAGTGAGCTATGATCATGCTACTGTACTCTACCCTGGGTGACACAGTGAGGCTCCACCTCTTTAAAAAAAAAAAAACACTGTAAAGCTACCTATACGATGTATGTATATAAATTCATAGAAAATGATCTAGAAGAATATACCTCAAACTAACCAAAAGCGATTATATCAATAAATGAGGGGCCGGGTAACATGACCCATGCCTTGTAATCCCAGCACTTTGGGAAGCCAAGGCAGGCAGATCACGAGGTCAAGAGATCAAAACCATCCTGGCCAACATGGTGAAACCCCGTCTCTACTAAAAATAAAAAAATGAGTGGAGCATGGTGGCACATGCCTATAGTCCCAGCTACTCAGGAGGCTGAGGCAGGAGAATCGCTTGAACCTGGAAGGTGGAGATTTCAGTGAGCTGAGATCACGCCACTATACTCCAGACTGGGTGATAGAGCAAGATTCCGTCTCAAAAGAACAAATAAAATTAGCTGGGCGTGGTGGTGTATGCCTGTAATCCCAACTACTCGGGAGGCCAAGGTACAAGAATCGCCTGAACCCAAGAGGTGGAGGCTGCAGTGAACTGAGATCCCACCACTGCACTCCAGCCTGAGTGACAGAGCAAGACTCCATCTGAAAAGAAAAGGACAGGAAAGAAAATCTGCAACTCTGTCTCAAAAGAAAATATGTGCAAAGGACATGAACACATGATTAAAGGACGAACATAAAATGACCAATGACCACATGGAAACAAGCCCAAGCTCTCCAGTTATTAAAGAAATTAAGATCACAGTAAGATATCATTTTCCACTATCTGATTGCCCAGCACTGGGAAGGATATGGGATCCAGGTTGCAGAAACTATGGATAAGTGCGTCCCTGATACAGCCTTTCTAAAGGCACTATGTGGCCCAAACTTTTAAAATATCCACGTCCTTTGGTCCAATAAGCCTACTCTAGGGAATTTACACTAGAACAATCTTCAGGCCATAGCGTAAGAACACATATCCAAGACCACTTGTCCCAGCACTGTTTACAGGCCAAAAGTGTGAGCAGTGAGGGGAAGGACCCACCAGTGAGAGGAAGAAGAAATGAGGCACAGGGGTCGCTCATACAATAAACTACGACAAGAGGAGGTCTGTGTTTATGATGCTACTGCAAAGGTTCACAATGCCTTGCTAAGTGAGAAAAACAGGGTTTTGAACAAGATGATCCCACCGTTTCCAAGAAACAGAAAGAACGTGTTTGTGTACGTAGGCGCAGGACTGCATCCGACGGAGGTTGTGATCACCCCCACGGCACAAGAAAAATATCCTGAAGGATATACAAAATGAGGTTGAAGGCAGGGATGATTTCCCCCTTTTGCTTTTCAGTTTTGTTTTGTTTTTCTGAGACAGAGTCTTACTCTGTCATCCAGCTGGAGTGCAATGGCCTGATCTCAGCTCACTGCAATCTCTGCCTCCCTGGTTCAGGCGATTCGCCTGCCTCAGCCTCCCGAGTAGCTGTAATCACAGGCGCCAGCCACCACATCTGGCTAATTTTTGTATTTTTAGTAGAGATTGGGTTTCACGATGTTGACCGGGCTGGTCTTGAACTCCCGACCACAGGTGATCCACCCACTTCAGCCTCCCAAAGTGCTGGGGTTACAGGCCTGAGCCAATGCACCCGGCCATTATTTTTTTTAATTTCCTACAATTTTAAATTATTTTTGCAATTAGCAATGTGTTTAAGACTGACACATAAGTGGAGGCTCTGGCAGTCCTTTCTTTGCTTCCCCCAACCCTAGTGACAGGCCCTTCCCCCAGCTTCACCACAGAGTGTGTCCAGAGATACAGAGTCCCAGCCTTCGAGCCTGCAGGAAGCCCCTCCATCTGGGCCAATTCATTCCTCAGCATATCCTGGGTCCTGTGTATTATAGACTAAGAAGCTCTCTTGAATCACCCCCAAATCCAGCTCCCTCTCTGCTCTCCACGCAAGGTGGCAATAAAAAATTATTTAGGTGTGTTCTTAAACAATGTCCTTCTATTGGTCAGTCAGTTAACCCTAACCTTTTGAGCATATCTAAGGCATCAAGTAGATGCTGGAAGTACGTGCTAGGAAAGGGACCAACTTCTAGGGTACTTGATCTTCATTATGAGAGAGAGCTGTCCAGAGATACACTACAGGGGACTGATGA